AATAATGTACGAGATATTGTCGTTAAATAAAAAAAAATTAAATAGGACGATAATTTTGTTGGAATTCAACGACAACCTTTGGAGAATTTCACTCAATCTTGATCTCAAGATTGTTATGAATCACACAATAACAATGAAAAAATGTTAAGAGAGAAAGAAGAAAATAACATTGGAGAAGAAGAAGAATGAATAATCTGCAGAGTTTCTCTCTGCCCACAAACTGTGGAAACTTTCTTATTCACTTGTAACTGCAAATTATGTGAATATAATGTATGAGTTATATGTATTTACAAAATAAGGGTTGCTCCCTATTTATAGATTTAGGTTAACTTGCACCCTAAGGCAAAGCTCAAAACTATAAAATACCAAAATAATTAACATTACTAAAATAGGCCTAAGTCAAAATCTTGTGTGAAGCAACTTGTTTCGACACTTCGACACGCTAATACAACTCAACACACAGATATTTCGACACAAAGAATTACATTCTTAACATACCACCTAATTCATTGTGTCTAAACTATCTATATTCATCATGGATTTTAGTCTTTTGAAAACTTCGACCTGCACCCTCTTCGTCATGATATTTGCAATCTGATTTTCAGTTATGCAGTGTTCCAAGTTCATCTTCCCTTTTGCTACCTGCTCACGAAGATAATGGAACCTTATTTTGATGTGCTTGCTTCGACCATGTGCTATTAGATTCTTCGCCAGATTGATAGCTGGCATGTTGTTGATCTTCATGGTAATTCTCCATGACTCTTCCCTGTAATCTCTTCGACCAGATTCACAATCCATGTTGCTTGATATGCACAAAGAGAAATAACTATGTATCCTGCTTCGCATGACGACAATGCCACTACTGGCTCATTTCTCAAACTCCAAGCAACTGGTGCACCACCTAGCATAAACACATAGACAATTGTGGATTTTCTATCCTCAGCATCACTACACCAATTTGAATTAGTGTATCCTACTATCTTGCATTTTTTTTCCTTCCTCAACTGCAGGAAACAAAATGGCGTAGTTGAGAGTTTCTTTCAGATACCTCAGTATCCTCTTCGTCTCTACTAGGTGTGATACCTTTGCCTTCTACACGAATCTACTTACCATACTCACACTGTATGCTAAGTCAGGCCTTGTGTGACAAAGGTATCGAAGTGACCCAATAAGTCTTCTATATTGGGTTGGATCGACATCATCTTCATCTGAATCTTTTGAGAGTTGCAATTTGGTCTCAGTTGGAGTCGAAGTTGGGTTGCAATATTGCATCTCAAATCTCTTGAGTATTTCTCATGTGTATCTTCTTTAGTGCATCATCAAACCTCTACCACTCTTATAGAATTCGATTCCAAAGAAATATGATAGATTTCCCAAGTCTGACATTTCAAACTCTTCACTTAGGTCATGTTTGAAATCTTTGATCTCCTTCTTGCAACTTCCTATTATCAACAGGTCATCGACATAGAGACATAGTATAAGCAATTCACTATTGCTTCTCCTTACATATACTCTATGCTCAATTGTGCACTTCACAAATTCCTTCTCCCTTAGAAAGTTGTCGATCTTCTTATTCCAAGCTCTTGGAGCTTGCTTAAGTCCATACAGGGCTTTATGCAGGTTGTACACCTTTCTTTCTTTGCCTTATTTCACAAACCCAACTGATTGTGCAACATAAACTTCTTCGTCTAAGGGGTCATTCGGGAATGCAAATTTCACATCCATCTGACATGTGTGACAATTGTTCATGTTTGCTATACCAACAACCAACCTGATTGTTTCGATCCTAGCAACATGTGCAAAAACATCGTCAAAGTCGATTTCTTCCTTCTGAATAAATCCTTTCGCCACAAGTCTCACTGAATCGAACAAATTGTATCCTCTAGTCGAATGGTATCCAATTAGGATCATTTGACTCGACTTGTCATCAATTTTTCTTCTCAACTGATCTGCCACATGTTTATATGCTATAGATCCAAGTACCTTCTCCCTATAATTCTTTGGGTAGATGCTTTCCTTTCAACATACTTCTCACCATGTTCATGATGGTTCTATTCTTCCTTTTCGCGGTTCCATTCTACTGTAGAGTGTAGGGTGGCACCACCTCATGCACAATCCCTTATTTCTCACATAATGCATCGAAATCTTTCGAAACATACTCTCCACCATCATCCATCCTCAGAATCTTTAGCTTTCAACCATTTTTTCTTTTGACCATAGATTTGAATTTGGCAAATAACTTGATCACTTCACTTTTCTTCTTGATCAAGTAAGTCCATAATTTTCGACTGAAATCATCTATGAACATGACAAAGTATTTGTTACCTCCAACCGAATCCACCTGGATAGGACCACATACATCAGAGTATATGACTTCGAGAATTACCTTCGACTTTCTTCTTGCATCCTTGCTGAAGATATTCTTGTGTTGTTTCGCCTGAACACATTGTTCACACACTTCGCTTGGAATGTCGATTTCTGGTAGTCCTGAATCTATATTTCTTCTCTTCAAATCTTTGATGTCTTCGAAATTGAGATGGCCAAGTCGATAATGACATATCCATTCATCTCTGTTGGCTGGAGTTGCAAGGCACTTATGCTCCATCACATTAAGTTCAATCTTGAAGGTTCTATTCTGAGACATTAGAGCCTTCAAGATTAATCTACCTCCTGAGTCAAGAACTCTCATCATCTTGTGTTCGATCTACACCTTGTAGTTTTTTTTGACCAGCTGTCCTATACTGAGCAAATTACTCTTCATGCATGGTATGTACAACACATTGGAAATTACTAACCTCTTGCCATCTTTCCTCATAATCAAAACATCACCAATACCTTCAACTGCTAGGATATTTTCATTTGAAAATTTCACCATATTCTTCATTGAGGGCTTCATGTTAACAAACCAATCTTTCCTACCAGTCATGTGTGATGAGTATCCTGAGTCCAAGTATCATTGGTCCTGAAATATTTCTTCATCTCTTGTCGTAACCATCAACAACATCTCTTCTTCTTCATGTTTTGCCAACTTTGCATCAGTTTCTTGATTCTTCTTCTTTTCTCGACACTCACTAAAATAGTGACCATACTTCTGACAATTGTAACACTGAATGTGACTTTTGTCAGGTTTTCGACCGTCGCCTCTTCCTCTACCTGCAGTACCACCTCTTAGGTTGCCTTGGTTCCAGGGTTTTCTCTGATTCAACCAGTTTCCTTCCTGCTGATTTCGACCAGTCAAATTGTTGTATCCTCTTCTACCTTTGTTGTCATTCCAGCTTCCTTTACCTTTGTTTTCTTTTTCTGATTGCGCCTGCAAAGCCATATAACTCTTCGACTTTCCTGCAACTCTTTCAGTCATCCTTTGTTCATGAGACTCAAGCGTCCCTTGAAGCTCTTCCTTCGTCAATACTGACAAGTCTTTCGAATCTTCTATGGCTACTACTACGTGGTCGAACTTTTGAGTCAATGACCTCAAGAACTTCGCAACAACTGATTTTGATGTCAACACTTCTCCACATACCTTGATTTGATTCACTAGTTTATTAAACCTAATGAAGAAATCAGTTATGCTTTCACTCTCTTTCATCTGAAGCAATCCATACATCCTTTTGTGAGTTTGTAACCTCATCTCTTTCACCTTCTCCGCGCCTTCAAACAACTTCTCTAAAATTTATCATGCTTCCTTCGTTGATTCTACATCACTGACCTTTTTTCAAAATTATTTGGATCAACACATTGATGGATTATAAAGAGAGCTTCATAATCTTTCTTCTTCAAATCTTTGTGTGCAGCCTTTTCTTGATCCGTTATATTTTCTACAAGCGGTGTTACTCCTTCCTTCACAAGATCCCAAAGATCTTGATAATAGAAAACCACCTTAAACTGCTTGCACCAATTCTCATAATTATCTTTCTTGAGAATCTGAAGGTTCGCCGAAAAGTGTCCGTTTGAATGATTCATCTTCATCACGGTTTTTCTTCCTTGAATCGCAACCGAAACTCTGATACTAGATGTTGGAATTCAACCACAATCTATGGGAAATTTCAGTCAATCTTGGTCTCAAGATTGTTATGAATCACGCAATGACAATGAAAAAAGGTTAAGAAAGAAAGAAAGAAAATAACATTTGAGAAGAAGAATGAATAATCTGCAGAGTTTCTCTCTGCCCACAGACTGTAGAAACTTTCTTATTCACTTGCAACTGCAAATTCTGTTAATACAACGTATGAGTTATATGTATTTACAAAATAAGGATTACTCCCTATTTATAGATTTAGGTTAGCTTGTACCTTAAGTCAAAGTCCAAAATTATAAAAGCTCAAAATAGTTAACATTATTAAAATAAATCTAAGTCGAAATCCTGTGTAAAGCAATCTGTTTCGACACTTCGACACTCTAATACAACTCGGCACATAGATATTTCGACACAAAAAATTACATTCTTAACAAGTTTTATGAATTGTAACTTAAAATATTAATTGTATTATGTTATTTTTAATATTAATTTTCAGTTTTAATTAAATAACATAAAATATTAAATTTTGCTTAGTTGGAACTACAGTGTCATTGACGCATCATTGCCACTTATTAAATTAACATGTCACTTGTTCATGTTACCTCTGGAAAATTGAAAGAAGACCACAAAATTTCAAAATTGGAAGAGGACCACAAAATTTCAAGAATTATTAATTTTAGTTCTTAAGAAAATACCCAAGATCCAACTTGGATTCTAAGAAAATTAAACTCTTTCTTAGTACACGAGTAAATTAGGTGTAAATAAACACAGACATCTTTCCCATAATGTTGTCTGTAATGCAAAAATACCCTCAGTTTTAAGATAGAATTCTAGCCAAACGAAATACAACTGTCCTTAATTTAACTCAATTATTAAACGCGTAAATGTAAATTCAAACATGAAAACGGTATACTGGGAAAAATTCTGTCCAGAATCTAAACCATGCTCTCTGAGCAGTCTTTCATAGGAAAAACAGACAAGTAGGTCAATAACGGTGTATGAGTTGCTTGTATGCTTCCTTGTTCTCCAAGTAATGATCAATTTCAGCCTGCCATAATAACTCACATTTTGGTTAAGCATCAAAATTAGTAGTTTGGCTCAGAGAATCACTTCGAGGTCAAAAGTTTTTCATATCTTAATTATTATACCTTTCGAATTGCTTTTATCACAGTCAGCAACTTAACACCAATAAATTCCTCAAGGAAGTCGGCCTTATCGAGAGCTTCCAAAGATTCCGAAAGTGATTTTGGTAATCTCTGAAGGTTGTCAGGATTTGGATCTGTATCTGTTTCATTCATGATATAACAATGTAATTTGATGATCAAAAAGTGATGAAAATGGTAACAAATTAGGAAAAATATCTTATAGTTTATATTATCTTACCAACAGGTTCGGGAAGGGAAAGATGCTTACGAAGCCCGTCAATGCCAGCACCAACTATAGCAGCTAAGCCTAAGTACGGGTTTGCGGAACCGTCAAATGATTTAATCTCAAAATTACTTGTTAAACCGTTAGGAATTCCAGGGGGAGATGAAGCTCGTATTGGAGCCTCCTTATTTTCATTTCCCCAGAACAAGTATGCGCCACTCCATGTGTTGGGTTGCAACCGATCGTAACTGCAATCAAATTGAGTACTGATGTAAGAAAACACAGGAACATAATTTGTATTCCGACATCAAGTTCTCATCCGCCGGTTTTCTGATCTAAGAAAACATATAAGCATACTTTAGGAGAACGAGTTGTTATAGATAACAGAAACCTGATAGGAAGTGGTGCTATAAACGGCAAAATCGAAGGAAGGTTATATAGAACTCCAGCCATAAATTCTTTTCCCAAAGTTGATATTCCATACTTTGATGATCCATCGGATGCCATAAATACATTTCGACCGTTCTGCCACAAGCTTAGATGCACATGGCTTCCGGAACCCAAATCATCTAACTTGTACCTTCAATATCACAAAGAAAACACTTTTATACACTTCCAAAAAGTATAAAGTATGTTGCTTCATGCTTTCAAAGAACATGGTCATCTCAGACACCTCTGAAAAAAGGTGCGTCCATGTTAGTGTCGGTGTCTGAAACCGACGCCAACATTTTTTATTACGTTTACTTTATTCATTTTTTAAAATTATTACTCATGTCGACGTGTCAGTGTCGTGTTTCCGGTGTCCGTGCTTCATAGATAACGACTTACTTTGGAATAAAAGTTGCGAGCAAGCCATGTTTTCTAGCAATTGCCCTAACAGTTTCATGCGTGTAAACTAAGTTGTCTGCAGCTTTGGTACAAACAGTATGTTCTAAAACCAACTCAAATTGACCTTTTCCAGCTTCAGCATGCAACTGCAATATGGAAAATGGGCCACATGTGTTAGAAACTAGAGGGTACTATTTAAGCATTTTTCAAGGAAAGCTAACGAGGAAACAGAAGCAACTTATATATTTACCTGTTCTACTTGAATGCCGATAGAATGTAAACCAGAAGCAACTTCGTGAAGTATTGTGGAAGCAGCATCAAACGCTGACGAGGAGCAGTAAGGACTCGAGTCAACTGGTATCCATTCTTCTATTCCTTCCCTGGACGGTTTTCTTCGTTTTTATAATAAATAATTGGCAGGGTAAAAATATTACTAATCAAATCACAAGATAATTTTGAATGGCACCTTGTTAGGCTCTTCAAGAGAAAAAACTCATTCTCAAATCCTGCATTCATTACCTAAAAGCAGAATATAAATTGTTATTTGAACATCACAAATCCGAAACCGTTTAAAAATGCACTCAACACAGTTGTTGACGCGAGAGAAAGATGGAGAAAAAATCAATAAAAGAACACAAAAAACATGCCATTAAACACAAAAGAAAATCCTAAATAATAGAAGATGTGAAACATACCAAGCCAAATTCATCTTTCAAAATTTTGGAAGCTCTTCTTAAAGCTTCTCTTGGACAACATTCCCATGCTTGGCCTGGTTGAACATTCAGATCACCTAAAACCATTTCATCTTGGTTGCTCCTATAATAATGAAACATAGTTGCCAACATCTTAGGATGATAATTTCGTTGAAAAACATTATCTCAGAAAAACTTGAGAATCGATTGCTATACAAGGAATGGAATCAACTGGTGATGCATTCACACGTCATTTTCATAAAAGAAATTGCTATAATACTAAGAAATCTTAGAACGTCCATGTAAAAAAATACTTGCGTACCAGGGAATCACCCTTTTAGAAGACAAATCAGGCGTTAATCTTGCTTCACCAACAGCCCCTAAACCAGATCCAGCTGCAGGTCCATCCAGAAAAGAAGTCATTCCCATAACCGCAAACGCTAAAGCAACCCCATTCTTCGTAACAACATCATTGAAACGCTTTTTAGGAACAGCCTGAAACAAAATAGCACAGCACCTCAGAACATAATATAAATATAAAAAATCTCTAAACTGTCTATATTGACATGAACACGGTAGAGGGAACTCACGCGGCATCTATGTTGTCCTGAATTATCAACCCATATTATACGAACAAATGAAACATCACTCTCTAAGTCATCGATCACATTTAAGGGTAAGATATTATGTGAACTAACAGCACTGTTAGAAATATTAATCTTATAGAAATTGATTGCATTTCTAGCAAGGATATCTTTTGCAGCTTCCACAGCCTCAGAAACTGAGATATCGCCATCAATGCACGAATCACGCAGAACCGAGAAAACAACTTCGCGAGACTTCTTTGCACCTGCGAATACAGAACTCGTTATGGTAAGCAACACAATTAAACTGTGGCACTACTCTTTCAGACAAGAACCTCAAGCAATAATTCAACAATCACAAGAATGCACTCAAGTATAATCTTCATTTTCGGTTAAGTTAACCAACCTAAGTAGTAGGTTTCAGGAAATGCATAGCCATCGGTACTAAACATCACCTGCAATACAAAGTTCGTTTTTGTGAGACATGGAAATAAGCTCAAATAAATCAATCCATTATGTACATATATTCTTTTGGCTATTATGCAAGATACATTTATATGAAAATCGTGAATAATTCTTAGCATTGCTTATAATGGTACCTTATTTATTGGAGCCAGATCTACAAGCTCTTTCAGTGATGAAATCATGCCATGTACACTAAGCTTTGGAATTGCCAACCCAAAATCAAGATAAACCTGAATGAGAAGATTGTTACTTGCGAGTGAACATGTAATACATATTCAAAACTACTAACACAACTAAGTTATAAAATGTTTGCCTGGGAGTACACAGATGCTAGATATGATGCTTCCCTTGAGAATGGATAAGATGCATGTAAAAGAACAATCCGAGATTTTGAATATCTCTTGTCCTTGAAAACTGAACGGAGATGAAGAGGATTCGACAGTCGCATATCCAAATCTTTATCCCCGAACCTAATCACAGAAAGGAAAGTTTAGTATTTCGGTAAAAGTAAAAGCACATTTACAGGCAAGCCGAAACTATGTAATAACATGCGTATCAGACAATTGAAAACCATTCATTACCCTGTGTGTATCTGCATTGGCAAGTCATAGGATTGAGCAACTTCCAAACTTTGCAAGAAGATGTAGTCAATAAGATTTTTGTTAGCAATACGGATAGGCTTCCCGGCTGAAAATGTAGAATGATTAGTATATGAATACAACGAAACACAACATTTTAAAACCAATTTTCATATTCAACTCACCGAGTAACACCTGCGTGAGACCCTCCTCGGCATCTTGTTTAGTCACATTTGTATTGATTTCTAGGCCACTGCGGTAAGCTGCTATGCTTTTCAATCCAAAGATCTCACCAGCCACCGTTAGATGATGCTAAGGAATACTGTGATTTATTGTTAATCATTGTTGCTGCTAAATAACTAAACACGACAAATTATAAATCACAACTAAGCTAAATTCTTTCAACGAATTTCAACCCGTGCGTTACACGAGTTCACAATACTACTACTAGTAGTTGAGGTTTTAAAATACGGTCCGTTATCACGAAAATGCTGCGACAAAACGGTATCAGAAGGTGCCAATACCGATACTGTTATAAACAGTTTTTATGATGGAAAAGAATTTGTAGTTAATTCATACCGTGATAACTGCAATCAGTATCAACTGAAATCGCAAAAACCTTTACGCAACTGCTACCGTTATTTAAAACCTTGCTAGTAGTAAAACATATGAAGGATATGATTTCAACTTTGAGACAAATGCTTCAGTGAACAAATCCAATGTCCAGCGAGAACCGTCTGGAAAATCCTACAAAGAGTATAACACATTATGAACACAATTGCAAAAGTATATATTAAGAAAATCAAAAATCAATATCTAAAAAACATCTTACTTCATCAAGGATTTTCTCAGCGACTTTTTCAATTCTTAAGATTCTACCAACAAAAGGTGTAAAATTCTTGTGCCATTCTATATCATGCTTTTTGTCCAATTCTAACCCATCATCTATGAGTATAGCAGAGATTCTTGCAGCTTTGAAACACGCCGAACATGTGGATTCCAATCCAGAAACTCTTCGGTATTCTTCGACACCTTGTAAAGATGACTCACATCCATACAGCTCACCTAAATCCCTTAGATTTCTCTGAACATTACATATATTATAAACTGTGATAATAACATTCCACAAACAGAAGAATATTTAAACTTCCACAAAGAATAAGGTTTAACAAACTTTGAACTGCAAACACATGTGACAGTCTCTGAGAGTCTCTGAGGACGCGCAAGGCGAACTACTGCAGCGGGTCCGAAATTTGTCACACTTAAACCGTAACTAAATAAAATCTCTTAAAATATTGTCATGGTTAAATCGTGGTTGAATAAAACCTCTATTTAAACCGCTGTTAATCTATACACTACCTCTAAAAATTTGAAAAACACATAGACACACATAAACAATATCGTTGACCTTTATATACATTCATGTTCATAGCATGAAACAATTAAAAAAAAAGTTGTTTCAACAGTGCAATATGGCGTTTGATCAATAAGTTGAAAAGAAGTAGTTACCTTGAAGGATAGAGAGTGATGTGAAGAAGCGAGAGCATCACCTTGTGCTTCGGAAAAGGCATGAATGAAAGGAAAGTTGGAGTGAAGTGCAACCAAGTTGTGGGCATGGCCATCTACAAGTTCAACTTCCTCTATCGCTTTTCTCAACTCACTCAAATCCATTTTCTCTTCTTTCAAGTTGTCAGATTTTTTGACTATATAATAATTTTATATCAACATAATTTATTATTTTACGATAAAATATATCTCATCTTTTTAAATACTTAAAATAAAATTCGAATAATTTTTATTATTTACAAAATTTTGAATTTAAACTACCTATATGTGTTATATATAGGAAATACATTACGCATATAGTATTTTATTATGGAGAATGATATTTTATATATTATATATTTAACTTTTCAAAGTTAATATGTTAGTTTTTAATAAAAATTTATATTTTTAATATTTTTTTAACTTGTGCCCTTAACAAGATTCTTATTTTATTACTATTACGTTTTTATAGAATATTATATAATTCTATGTAATGAAGACTGAAGAGCATGCGTATGCTTTGTTCCGTCCTTTGAGTATGGCTATGACATTGATATGTCTAGATTCATAGGGAGGACCTTACAGAAGATGGACCTGGGTTATGACTTTCAATTACTTTTATATCTTTATGTAAACTACTCAATAATAAACTGGTGCCTATTTTTTTAATTTTTTTTACGTTCATTTGTTTATGAATAAAAATTAAAAAATGAAATAAAGAAAAAAAAAATTTAATCAATACTATCTTTATATTTTTTTTATAAAAGACAATTTACTTTTTAGATTTATTGAATATTTAATTTATCTAGTCTATAGCTTTTCATCTTTGATCATAGCTTTTCGTCCATTGCTCATTTGAATAACTATGTCACCAGTATCTTTTGCTTGCAATGAGCTATTATCAGCAAGTCTGACCTTGCTCTTCTTCGAAGATTCGAAATCTGCTAACTATGCTTTTTGACCAGTCATGTAATTCAAGCAGCCCGAGTTGATAAACCAGATCTTGGAGTCGACATGGTCATTTGCAAATACATTTATAACCACCATATTTTCATAATCATCTGAATCTCGGTGTGTAAGGTTTGTTCATTCCTCCTTATCTTTTATCGCTCCCTTTTCTTTATTGTACCAATAATTATTGGCCAAGTGATCCCACTTCCCACAGTTATAGCATTGGACACTTTTTTTCTCTTTGTCTTTTTGATAGGAGTTTCCATCTCCTCTTTTCAAGACTTCTTGCTCTGAGTCTTGCCTCTTTTGCCTTTAAACTTGTTGGAATCACAATGTTTCTTCCAAGCTTGAGCCTGCAGTGCTTGTATCGAATCTTGAACCATTTTTCCTTTCGACAGTCCTAATTTCATGTGCCTCTAACGAACCAACCAAATCTTCTAGTTTCAGGATTTAAAGATTGTTGGATTTTTAAATAGCTACGATAATGTGATCAAAGTGAGAGGTCAATGTACACATTACCTTCTCAACTATCATCTTATCAATTAGGTTTCACCACAATCCTTCATGAGATAGACTAGATTTTGTACCTTCGACACATTGTCTGCAATATTTTCATCTTCTCCCATCTCCAACAATTCATACTATTGTCACAAAGTCTGCAACTTGACGACTTTGACTTTTTTACCTTCTTCATAGTACTTGACAAGAATATCACATGCCTCTTTCGTCGATTCAATAAAAAGAGATCTTGTCGAAATTCGCCGAATCTACTACCAATTGAATGCAATATGTGCCCTTACAGTCTTTCTTCTTCACCTCCTTGTTCGTGACTCTTTGAGCATCCGTTGCATTTTCAGAAAGCTCGGGGACACCATTAGTAACCACTTCTAGGATTTCATGAAAGCTGAACAAGGACTTCATTTGCTTGCTCCATCAGTTTCATTTTTTTTGTCAAGAATCATAACAAAATTCAGAAAGCCATTGGTACCATTCATCTTTGCAGCAATTGATTAACAATCCACGATCCTGAAAACACAATCATCGACGTGTGATTCTTAAAAATACGATCAAGAAACTAACCAGAGCTCTAGATACCAATTTATTAGTGTGTGAGAGATTTTTAGTGAAGAGAAAAAGAGAGAGAATGAAGAATAAAAATTATTATTATTGAATTCTAATTCTACAAACTAAATTATAAAATATATTTATTTATATACAACCAACTTGTATACTAAGAGCAACTTTAGTGCAAAGTTGTTAAATCAAAATTTTGTATAACTTACGTTAGTAATAAAGAATTTGCATTATAGTAGAGCTGACATGGCATCTAAGTGAACTAAAATTTAGTTCCCATTATCTATAGATAACGTTAACTATTTGAAATATATTATAATATTATTTATTTAATTAATAAAATATTCCAACAACATTAAAGTAATGACATAATATTTGAAAATTAGACAATCATCATTAAAGTAAAAACTACTCAAATCAACTATAAATTTTTTAAATCTTACAAAACACTTTGAACCCACAAAAAATATCTTAGTTTATCTATGGGAAATGCTAACCAATGTACTCAGGGCACTTTTTAAAATTTTAAATAGTAAGTTTTTATAAAAGTATGTGCAATAAAGTGTAATAATGTGCATTGGAAATTGAAGTGTTTGAATTTTTTAAAGAATAATTTTTTAATATGGAATGTTTAAATAATGCTCTGAGGACAACCAGACCCTTTATCTATTTAATTTACTCTCATTAAATATGCTATAAGTAAGAAAGTCTAAGTTCTAATTAACTTTAAATTTTAATTATACATCTTAAATTATATTACAACAAAAACACCTTTTTAAATCAATTCACGCATATTGTTGTCGTTACCAACAACGGATGCAAGTCTAAAAGTGTTGTCACGAGTGTAAGAAGTGTTATCCTCAAAACTGGTAAGATCCATTTTTCACCATATATTTCGTTTTTGTTCTCATAATTTTCAAGAATTGTGTTGAGTTCGGTGATTTGAGGAAATATCTGTGTAACTAAAGTTAGATTTAGTATTAGGTTACTTCTCAATCAAAGATTTTGTTGTCGTGTCGTTAACTTTGTTTCTAGATAATGGGTATGATTGATTTAGCGAGATGTCAATGTTTGAGGGTGTTATTGGAGAGAAATGCTATAATGACATCCACTTTAACATCTACGCGTTATTAGTAATTCAATCCCATGAGTTATAGGCAACTGCAAAAGAATAGTGACATCTTTCTTCCACCATTATCCCACTTCTCAAGATATATTTTAAGTATCCTGTCTATTTTATTTTAGAATAGACATTTTCATTCCTTGAAAAGTAAATATTTAAAAAAATTATATTTCCCTCATGTAAAATCTTGATTACATTATGCTCCTTTAAAAATTAAGTATGTATTGCACTTTAATCTATTTAAATATAAATAAATATTTATAATAACAATTATAATCCTCATTGAAAATAACAATGAAGTGATAGGTTGTTATATATATCAAGGCGATTTGTCCCATAAGGAAGCTATATCATATCACATTATAGTATTTCTTAGAGAGGAAATTACAAACTATAACAAACTAATAATTAATTCATAACAGTTTTGAAATTGAAATTGAGCTATTAGTGATGTATGATGGTGATATTGTCATGCTTCACATTCTCATTATCATCATGTTTCACATGTTTCAATATCCCCCAACAAGTTGAACGTTGATAAATGTTTATCATCTTCAACTTGAATAACAATGCATCGAAAGATTGAGGATGGAGAGATTTGGTGAACAAATCAGCAAGTTGGTCCTTGGATTTGACAGGAAGGAGCTTCAAGACACTTTTGCTTTGCTTTTCCTTTACAATATGACAGTCGATTTCCAAGGCTTAGTCCTTTCGTGAAAAACAAGATTGGAGGCAATGTGAATTTCACTTTGATTGTCGCAGTATATGATTGGCGTTCTGGTACATGTGACATGCAAATCATGCATGAGATACAAGAGCCATTGAAACTCACATGTTGCTGCTGCAAGAACTCGATATTATGTTTTTAATGAAGACCTTAAAATTGTCAATTGTTTCTTTGTCCTCCATGAAATGAGAGATCAACTAAGGAAGAAACATTGTCCTGAGATGGACATACGTGTGTTAATACAACTTGCCCAATCAGCATCTGAGTAAGCATTTAGTTGCAAAGTTGAATCTCTTGGGAAGAAAATGCCTCGAGCTGGATATGTTTTGAGGTATCGTAGAATTTTACAAGCAACATTAAAGTAAGTGATTGTATGCGCTAACATGAACTGGATAAGTTATTGTGTGCAAAAGGTTATGTCAGGCTTGGTTGCATTTATATACAAGAGTCTTCATATGAGTCTTTTGTATGAAGGAATATCATGGTATGGAGTGTTTGAATCCTAATGAAGTTTAATAGCAAGATCAGGTGGCATTGAAACTGGTTGTGACTCAAGGAAACACGCATCTTCTATCAAGTCAAGGCAATATTTCCTTTAGTAAAGAAGGATACCTATTTTAGAGTGTGTTACTTCAATGCCTAGAAAATATTTTAGCTTTCCTAGGTCCTTGATTTTGAAGGTGGTATCCAATGCTATTTTGATAGAATGAAATTCAGTCAAAAATCATTACCTGTTAGAATCACAGCATCAACATACACAAGTAGAATGGTGATGGAAGATGAGTTGGCTTTGACAAATAATGAGTGATCTGAAGTAGCTTGTTTGTAATGATGAGAGGTAAGGAATGTAGTAAGTGAAGGTTGAGAAACACAAGAAATGGGGGTTTGATTGGATTTCATATTTTGTACCCATTTGTGGAAATTAAATTAATTGCATTAACAAGTAAATAAAATAAATGAACACAATTATTTTATCCTGGTTAGGGGTGTTCAAATCCAAACCAATCCAAATAAAAACAGCAAACCGATCCAAAAAATCAAAAACCGCAAAAAATTGAAAATTATTGGATGTGTTTGGATGTCATTTTATAAAAACCGATCGGTTCATATCGGATTTCGAATTGATTTTTCAAAACCGATCCAAACCAAATCGAACCGCATGTATATACTTTTATACTTATTTATTTTTTTATCAGTATAATAAGTTGTGTTAATTTATTACTAGATGATACTCTTTTTATAAAATACTAT